AGCAATTGGAGTGAAACTACAGTCTTGCTTTTGCATAGCAACATTTCACTTTTGGCTCTGAGGGGCAAGATGCTTGTTGGCCGCTGGTCCAATCACTCATGCCTTTTATACCACAACAGTGCAGAAATGACTGGATGAAGTCCCACATCACCTTGGTGCTGCTGTCCCAGTGGTAATGGTAAATGCTACCAGTCAGGCCCTCAGCTACAAACACATTCAGCTTCTGTTAGTAAACAAAGTGCAGGATGGCCAAGGTCACCTCAGCAATGAGAATGAAAAAGGACATAAGGAGGCACCTGTTTATCTTGATAGAGCCTATGCAGCTCAGGAAGGCAACCACCGTGATAACAAAGCCCATAATGAAAGCACATTGCTCAGCGTGAGGAAGGGGAGCTTGTGGAAGAGCACTCCCTAGCTGTTGTGGATCAGTGGGCACATCCCCCAAAGTGTAGCAGCCACAGAACCAAAAGAGCAAGTTGTGCACAGTTGTGTATGATGGCTCACGCCTGGAATCCCAGCGCTTTGGGAGGCTGAGGCAGGGGGACTGCATGAGCCCAGGAGTTCAAGACCAGCCTGAGCAACATAGTGAGACCCTGACACTACAAAAATATTTTTAAAAATTAGCCAGGTGTGGTGACGCATGTATGTGCCTATGGTCCCAGCTACTCAGAAGGCTCAGGTGGGAGGATTGTTTGAGGCCAGAAGGTCAAGGCTGTAGTGGCCTATGATGGAGCCACTTCACTTCAGCCTGAGAGACAGAGCAAGATCTCTCTAGAAAGAATGAGAGAGAGAGAGAGAGAGAGAGAGAGAGAGAGAGAGAGACAAAAGAAAGGAAAGGAAAGAAAAGAAAAAACAGGACATAATTCCTGTTTTGGCCTTTTGCAGGCACTGGTCCTCAGTCCTTCAGACAGAATTTGTGATTATCCTGCAAATGGCCAAAACAAGGCTGGTTACATTCGCGTCTAGGGTTATTTTGGAACTTTGATTTTTGAAACTAGCATTACTACTTTAATATTGAGGATAATTTTTTAACGTGTTTATTGATCAACTGCATTTTCTCTTTTGTGAATTTTTCTTTTGAAATATTTTGTCCATTTATCTATTGGAAAAACTTGGTTTTAATAAGCTCATTATAATTGCAATTTAATAAGACTTTCATGATTTTTATTTTTAAAATAAGTGTTGGGCTGGGCACAGTGACTCATGCCGGTAATCCTAGCACTTTGGTGAGACACTGATCACCACCTGTGAGTGATCCTGGCTCAAGGACGGATGAATGAATGCACTCTCACACCTATTTCAGTGATTCGAGTGGGGTAGGGTTGGTCGTTGGCTGCTTTCAGAAGGCAAACTGCAGCCAATCGACCAAGACTCCCTCTCCATCCTCACATTTATTCAGTATGAATTTCATAGCAGAGGTTTTAAGTCAACATGCTGTGGATAATTAACATGGTTAAAAGAGTGGTTTTATGAATGATAACAGCTTTAGGTTCTGGGGCCCAGAATAAACACCATTAACAAGTAATTCCCCTTTCACCTCCCTTGAGAGGGTCATCCAGCACGAAGTTACATGAGTAAACAGAGTAGAGACAAAGTGATGGGGGGTAAACAAATTAAACTGGGAAAAGCCTCTTATTGTCCCTATCTTTTCCCTCACATAATGGACTGGCCGCCTGCAGCCTGTTCCAATAAAACCTTTCGGCCTTCCAATTGGTTTGAGACTATAATTTATAATTTTCCCTAATGTTTCCCTAATAGTTTGCCAGCCACCCTGAGTGAATCGCAACACTTTGGGAGGCCAAGGTGGGTGAATTGCTTGAGCACAGGAGTTCCAGACCAGCCTGGGAAACATGAAACACCATCTCTACAAAAAAAAAAAAAAAAAAAAAAAAAAAATACAAAAATTAGCTGGGCATGGTGTCATGCACCCATAGTCCTAGCTACCCAGGAGGCTGAGGTGTGAGGATTGCTGGAGCCTGGGAGGTGGAGGCTGCAGTGGCCCACAACTGCACCACTATACTCCACCCTGGGTGACACAGAGATAATCTGTCTCAGTAAAATAAAATAAAGTAAGTGTCATCAAATTAAGAAACAATTGGCAAAACAAAAGTAAATCTTTGTGATCACATAGAGAAAAGATCAAGCAGAGGTAAATGTTAGTTCAAATACTAAATGATGCCATCTAGTGGAAAATTTATTTTGACTCATTTCTCTGAATTATGGGTTCACAAATTTTAATGCCCCCAAATTTGGAATTTATGGGTTTTGTTAAAATACATAGTCCAGCCCCTCTAACTCCATATGTGTGATAATCCAAGAATTGTGTTTCAATAGTATCCATATTGTAATTAGGAAAATTCCATTTCACTTAAAAAGAATGTCCCAGAAGTACCTCGTGCTTTCCCTTTTCATCAGAATGTTTACCAGTTTCACCATAATAAATAATTTTATTGCTAAAAACATTTTTTTAATCTGTTAGTCCCTGTGCTAATTGTTTTACTTATATTGTTTTATTTAGCCTGCTCAAATGCCTAAGTTAGATACTGTATTTCACAAGTGAGAAGGCTGAGGGGGAGAACTTAAGTATCTTCTCCAAGGTCACACAGCTAAAATTGTACCTGAACCCAGAAACCATCAGGCTATTGTTCACAGGCCTATGTGACAGGAAAGGTCATAGTCATATGAATAGTGAAAAGGGACTAACTTTAAAAGACCAGTTCCAGTCCCATGAGCCTATATACTGTCACCTACATTTAGCTTAGTATACTATAGGCAAAAATGAATCATTATTTCTTCATTACCGAGGGCTATTTAGGGGCATTTTGCTTTGATATGTTGCAACTTAATATGCACATGGTAAGACAGTCACACATTCAGATATTCCTTAAATATTGGTGTTATAAATTTGGGATGTCTTCAATACTTTGTTGTTACTCTCTATTCTTCCCCTAAATAAAATAAACTGAACTGCTTTAAACCCTCTATGTGGAGGCAAGCTGAAACTAATTTATTTATAACTGGTTAGAAAACCCCCAGCTGATAGAGATCTGCAGCCAAGCTAGGTGAAGCTTAAGCATGGGTGCCTTCCCAGACTCCACAAGGGCCAAGGGTTGGGCCCACTCAGGCTGGCAGAAGTCAAGTGCTGTTTCCCCTTAAGCAGAAACTTATCTTTCCTACAGCTCACCCCCTCCCTTGAGCCCAAAGTATCAACTGACTTCAACTGAAAAATTAATTCCTGCTACTGCCCTAGTCAGAAACAGCGTGAAGGAGACCTAGGAACTTTGAGAGTATGTCGGTGATAACTGCCCTATTCTCTAGTCTATTACTGACTCTAATAATGGAAAGTTATAACTATGAAGGATTTCTTTGTGCGGGAAGGAAGGCTTGGTAACCAGAGACTTTCATTATCTTTTAAATATCTACCCAGTAGAAAGAAGTGTTTCCTTTTTGGTATCTTATAAGCTACATTAGTCTTAGAAATCTTCAGAGTGTTAGTGAACAAAGAACATCAAAGAATTAACTTAAAAAAAAAAAAGGATGGCCCAAAAAACAAATAAACAAAAAATTAGGATGAACACAAAAATTTCTCAATTTATTTCTACACTGGAGTGGAAAATAAATTTGAAAATATAAAAATATTTTTGTATTCTTTACTTCCACCCCCAGGAACTCAAAATGTTAAATGATAATGCCCCGTAATGCAAAAAAAAGTTCAGACTGATATTCAGCAGTACAGAAGGAAAAAATTTATGACTAACAAAGAATCTTGGAGTCTTCTCACATGGAAAAACTAGATGAAATAAAACTAAAAATAGACAACATTAATGGAGCATTTTAATTTGTGCCGGGCACTTTTGTAAATGTTCCTTGAATGCACAATCCCATTTATCCTCTACCTTGAGGGTCTCAAGGTAGGTACAATCATTCTTATTATTATACAAATGAGGAAAATAAGCAGTTAAGTCATTTGCTGAAGTCATCCAGCTACTAAATTGTGGACGGGGAACCAAGGTGTCAGGCCCCAGAGCCCAAGTTCCCATCTACTAGGCCGTAAGAAAGACACCTAAATGGCGTCACTTCCTCAGAGTCGGAAGCAAACTTGGGATACAAATTAACTGAATGGATCACCCATTTGACTAACAGACATCTGCCTGATCACACAGTTTTTTTAGACTCCTTGTGGCCTCCAAGTTCATTTATAGAAGTAAATTAGTTGTGCTTTATTATGCAAATACTTCACAATGACTGGGTCTTGGGCGGGAAGAATTTATATATTTTGGAGGGTCAGAGACCTAGGCCATTCCTTTCAGGTTCACAGTTTTTTGTGTTTTTTTTTTTTTTTTTTTTTTTTGAGCCCGAGTTTCGCTCTTGTTACCCAGGCTGGAGTGCAATGGAGCGATCCCGGCTCACCACAACCTCCGCCTCTTAGGTTCAGGCAATTCTCCCGCCTCAGCCTCCTGAGTAGCTGGGATTACAGGCACGCACCACCATGCCCAGCTAATTTTTTGTATTTTCAGTAGAGACGGGGTTTCACCATGTTGACCAGGATGGTCTCGATCTCTTGACCTCGTGATCCACCCGCCTCGGCCTCCCAAAGTGCTGGGATTACAGGCGGGAGCCACCGCGAAAAAGCCAAACAAGATTACAGAAACTAATGGTGTAGTGAATATGTACATGAAACAAATGAACGCTTTCAATAAAGCCAATACGATAGTGTGTTTGAAACTTCACCTGGCGGTAACCACGTAGGTCCAAGCCTAACTCCCCACAACTCTGAGGTCCTGCCACTGGCTTCCTAGCACCCCCTGCGACAGGACCCCGTGAAAACCCAGATACCTCGACTTAAACACTGGTTTAGTTTGTAGTCGGGTAAGGCGGTGGGGCACCCATCTGAGGCCTCTGCCCTTGGGGCTGTCGTCCCCGCGGGATAGACGCCCGCGGGAAAACCAGTCAGGGCAGGAGTACCCTCGGAACCAAAGCTCCCGCTTCGCCTACTCCCCGGTAGCGTTTCCCGGAGCACCAGGGGGCGGGGGCTGGCTGGCTGGGCTGGCCGGGAGGGTAGCCAGGAGCTCGGTCCCGGCTGGCAGAGATGCAGTGAGGCCCAGTCTCGGGCTGCTTGACCATGCTGAGCGGAACGCGCGGCCGGCTAGCCTCAGAACTGCGGAGAACATGCACGCAGCCGTCCGCAGTCGCTCGTAGGTGCCTGCACGCGTCGGGCTCGCGGCCTTCGGCCGACCAGAACAAGAGGACGGAGAAGACGCCCCGTACCTTCGATCCCGCGCTCCTGGAGTTCCTGGTGTGCCCGCTTTCCAAGAAGCCGCTCAGGTGACTCGCTGGTTTGGGCCCTTCCTTCGCAGCTTCCGGGTTGGGGGAAAGGGAGCGGTGGGCCGCGGCCTCCCGCAGCCACTGGGGCCTTGTAGGTCAGGCAGGTACTCTCCGCTGCCATTTTCTGGACTCTGGCCCCGCAGGACCGGGAGACCGGAGGCCAGGGGAGCCGCGTCCCACATCTGCCCGACCACATCGCCAGACTACGGGAATGGCTTGAAGCGTTTTAGGTTCGCCACCGGCTGCGCAATGCAATCACCCGGGGACCGTTTTAAAAATGCCGATTCCCCGACAGCCCCCAAGACCAGCAGACTCGGAATGTCCGAGGGATGAGACCTGAACATTTGTATTTTTTTTCTTTCTTTTTTCCTGTTAAGAGACAGGGTGCTCCTTACGTTGCCCAGGCTGGCCTAGAACTCCGGCTTCAGCCTCCTAAGGAGCTGGGGGATACAGGCGCCGCCCCCACTCCCAGCTTATTTGTGTGTTCTTAAACGACCCCGAAATGATTTCTAAGGTATAACCAGGTTTATGAACCACTGCGATTCAGGACAAGGCCAAAGCCTTCTGGTTTTTAAGCCAAGATGATGAAAAGTATTGTTGTACCCTCCAGATTCTTGTGAAGGTGTCGTGTACAACTGGTGCCTGACAATCTTAAGCATTTCACCTGTGTGTGCTGCCCAGTGGCTCTTAGTTGTGGACTAGCAGGTTTCGTAGAAACCTCTTTAACCTAGTTTTTGGGAAAACAGCTCTACAGTTTCCAAGCTACCAGAATTGAATATCAACAACATTAACACTAGTATTACAAATCGCATAAACTAAACACCAAAATGTTATCAGGGACTATCTTTGAATGGTAGATTGCTAGCAGTTTTTTCATATTTCTTTTTTTCCCATAATATTATTCAATTTTCTCAAACCTTGAAATTACTTGATTTGCCTTTATAACTAGCGCACCGCAGACTCACTGCTTTCCAGTGTTTTCTCATTTCTGCCCTCTCACCTTTTCCAGTTATTTCCTTCTAATGGATTAGTTAAGTTTCTCTATTTAGCATTTATTCTAAAATGAAGAAGTTGATTTTTCTCTAGTGTTTGTTCCAGTAGTAAATTTACAGAGATGGTTTGAGGGTTGACCGAAGTAGTGAAGGAATATTTGGGTAAGAGGGGGATCTTTTCTGACTACTATAAAAACGAAATTAAGGAATAACTTGTGAATAAGGCGAAAAAGAGAATATGAGAGAAACCGACTAAAATGGGAATAATTATAGATTCTAAGAGAATTTTTTTTAAGATAAAAGGTTGAATTGGCTATTGTTGCTTTTAGAATTGAAGAAGACTACTCTGGGATTAACTAACTCTATACCGAGAATTGGATAAATGGTGGTATTTGTTGAAAATCAGGCTCTTCAAGCATTTTATTTTTCACAATTCATTTTGTTCTTTTTTTTTTTCAACCTCAGATATGAAGCATCAACAAATGAATTGATTAATGAAGAATTGGGAATAGCTTATCCAATCATTGATGGGATTCCTAATATGATACCGCAGGCAGCTAGGATGACGCATCAAAGTAAGAAGCAAGAAGAACTGGAGCAGCGCTAGTTCATAATTAAAAAAAATAAAAAAAACCCAACAGCTGACTTTTCTTAATACCGTATACCTTTTAAAACATAGTGGAGGGTAATAATTGGAAGAGAAGAATGTTTATGTCTCTTCCTACGTTGACTGTTCTTATTCCACTGGTTTCTTTAGCAGGACTGTTCTACTCGGCCTCTGTGGAAGAAAACTTCCCACAGGGCTGCACTAGCACAGCCAGCCTTTGCTTTTACAGTTTGCTCTTGCCTATTTCCATACCAGTGTATGTATTCTTCCACCTTTGGACTTGGATGGGTATTAAACTCTTCAGGCATAATTGATGTAACTAGTGTCAATATGCTATATTTATTAATAATAGCTCTTGGGCATCTATCTCTGAAAGCTCAACTGGATGGAAGTTTGCAGGAAAGAGGCTTTGCTTTGTGTATATCAGGCTTAGGACTGTGGGAGACTTAAGTTGCAGATGCTTCTTTTGTTGTACTCTTGCTCTGCCCTTGTGTTTTGCAGGCTCTGACTTATAACTGCTGTATCAGAGAAAACATTTTGACAGTGTCTTGTTGGAGATGAACATCCCCAATTGTCATGTCATGAGTATTTCTTATTCTGTTCATCTAAAAGTTACTGAAATTTTGTTTTGCTTGTTTGTTAAGTTTAAGGTCTTTGGTAAAGTCACATGTTAGGAATGACTGAAATAATTCTAAAGGAGTGATGTTGAAATACTCTCTCTAAGGGAGACAAATGCATTTGAACAAGTGTGATATAAAACCATATCATCAAATAGAAATTTCAGGTACTTAACAGAAATTAAGTTTGTAAAATTACCTTCATTTCTTTGACATTAACTGCTTATATTAGCAATAAAGATGTTGACACTTTACCATAAAAGATGAAATAAACCAGTTTGCAGTAGTCATTTGTTTGGTCACAGAAGTGTGATTGATACAAAGGGAAGTTGTAAAACTGCACTAAACATAGGCTGTGTTTAGAGAGGTACTTAATAGAATCATTTCCCAGGAAAGTGAGGGGTCGAAGACTTGCAAGTAGTAGTTTGTACCCTGTTGAGCTTACAGCCACATTTTGAGCCACATTTCAGTTTATTTTCCCAGGAGACTGAATAACACTACAACGGGCATGAGCATCAACACATGAATAGCTCCTGATTTTCCAGAACTTTCAACAAGACTCATGGAGCATTGAACAATACTTTTAAAGTATAGTGTAAGTGTTTCAGTAGTTAACCCAAAGAAACCTAAAAACTGAATACAAACTTTATTTTTATTGGAATCTTATTTTAACAGAAACTTTAAACAGTGATTCTAACATGTTAGATGTGTTTTCTGTTGAGTTAATTCAAAGTGTACTGTAGTACAGACATTTTTAAATTACCCTATGGCAACATGCAGATAACCTGGAAGACTACAGGTTCCCAGTTATTTCCTGAAGAGTTGTTCTTTTCAGTTAACCCTAAATCTCACACTTAACCAGTCAGCAAAAATGAAATAATTCTTAAAAACCAGTAGATACTATGTCTCAGGAAGTCAATTCAATTTCAGCTTTTGAAAGTTCAGCGTTTTACCTGACAAGCATATCCTGGGGGAGTTTAGTATTTAACACCATCCTCTCACTAATAGAATTTATTTAGCAATTAGTTATATAGTACAAACATATACCAGATACAATTATGAGCACAGTGCTGCTGTCTTCCTTAATCTTATTACCCTAAGGAGTAGATAATACTAGCATCATTTTACAGATAAGGAAACAAGCACAGAGAGATTAAGTGACTTACCCAAGATAAATAGCAATAATTGGACTGAAATATAAACTAGCCATGGGGCTTCAGTCTTTTCTTAACTACCATGCATGTGCCACTTTATTTTGTGCTATTTGGCCCTTTCTATTTATAAGAAAAACAGTAATCAAAATGCTTAGTTTCTAATTCCTATTCTAGACTAGGTGACCACCCCCCCAAACTTTTTTTTTTGAGACACGGTTTTTACTCTGTTGTCCAGATTGGAGTGCAGTGGCATGGTATGATCATGGCTTACTGTAGCTTCAACCTGGGTTCAAGCGATTTTCCCACCTCTGCCTCCCAAGTAGCCAGGACACATGCCACCATGCCCGGCTAATTTTTTTTTTTTTTTTTTTTTGGTATTTTTTTGTAGAGATGGGGTTTCACCATATTGTCTAGGCTGGTCTCAATTCCTGGGCTCAAGCGATCCACCCACCTCAGCCTCTCAAAGTACTAGGATTACAGGACTGAGCCACTGCACCCAGCCAGTACCCTTCTTTTTGCTTAGGGCACCATATGCTTTATTCTAGCACTTAACTTGGTGCTGCAATTGCCTGGTTTTGGTCTCCTGTCTGTACAGTAAATGCTGAACATTTAAAGTCTAATGTTTAGCACAGAGTAATCAGTAAGTACCTCCTGAGTGAGCAGATGGCTCTGATAAGCCTTTTAACTTCAGCCAAGTTACTTAGCATTCTCGGCCTCATTTTTAGAGAAATCCTTATCCTTGTTTCATAAAATTGTGAGGATCAAATACAATTTTATATGTGAAGGTACTTTGCAAAGAACTAATAAGTGATACTTCTAGAGACCATGTGAGGAACTTTGTGGACCCATCTGCCAGTGAAACAAGCCTAACCAGTGAAAAAATATAAACAAAACAATTTAAATAGTCTGGAAATTGTCCTAAGGGCATACAGCTCATTAAATGAAGAAATATTCAAGGAAGTCTACTAAAACAGTAAGAACAGCAAGTTTGTGGCATTTGACCTACAAACCACTTGTATTCTCCTCCCTCTCAGCTGGGCAATAGCCACTCCAGGAGCCTGTAACATATGACATATTTAGTATTAATATCACAAAGGAAATTGAGGTAAGCAAAGCTGTATTTGCAGTATGAAGATGATACCAAATAGTAACTTGAATTCATAGGAATACATGAAGAGAACCAGAAGAGATAAATAAGATTAATGTAATGAATGCTATAATATATACTTGCTCTCCTTTCATTTCTCAGTTTAAGAGACATCAGATTATATAAAATAATTTAAGTATTGGGTTTGTAACATACAAATGTGATTGCAGAACAATAGCACAGCAAGAGGGAAAAGGGAATCGAGCAGTTGATATGTGGCTGTATAAAAGTAATGCTTCTGTATCTTTTTTTTTTTTTTTTGAGACGGAGTTTCGCTATTGTTACCCAGACTGGAGTGCAATGGCACGATCTCGGCTCACTGCAACCTCCGCCTTCTGGGTTCAAGCAATTCTCCTGCCTCAGCCTCCCGAGTAGCTGGGACTACAGGTGCGCACCACCATGCCCAGCTAACTTTTGTATTTTTAGTAGAGACGGGGTTTTACCTTGTTGACCAATATGGTCGCAATCTCTTGACCTCGTGATCCACCTGCCTTGGCCTCCCAAAGTGCTGGGATTATAGGCGTGAGCCACTGCGCCCAGCCGATGCTTCTATATCTTATCAACACTTTGTTTTTTGAGATGGAGTCTCACTGTCTCAGGCTGGAGTGCAGTGGCATGATCTCTGCTCACTGCAACCTCTGCCTCCTGGGTTCAAGTGATTCTCCTACCTTAGCCTCCCCAGTAGCTGGGATTACAGGGGTGCATCACCACATCTGGCTAATTTTTGTATTTTTAGAAGAGATGGTGTTTCACCATGTTGGCCAGGCTGGTCCCAAACTCCTGACCTGAAGTGATCCACCCTCCTCAGCTTCCCAAAATGCTGGGATTACAGGTGTGAGCCACCACACCCACACTCTTATAAAGGGATCAGCAGTTTTAAAAGACCTGTTAAGACTTCATACACTGCTGGTGAGAATATAAAATATTGCAGCTTCTTTGGAAAACAGCAGGACCACAAAAGGTCAAATGTAGAGTTGCCACATGACCCAGCAATTTCACTCCTATGTATATTACTCAAGAGAAGTGAGAACTTAAGTACTCAGGACAGCTGCTATGCAAATGTTCGTAGCAGCATTATTTAGAATAGCCAAAAAGTAGAAACAACACAAACATCCATAAACTGATAAATGAATAGATAAAATGTGATAGGAAGATAATGAAATAATATTTGGCAATATAAAGTAATAAAATACTGATATATGTTAGACTATGGATGAACTTTGAAAACATTATACTAAGTCACAGAATCCAGTTGCAAAAGGTCATATAGTTTGATTTCATTTACATGAAATGTTTGTAATAATCAAATCTCTAGAGACAGTAGATTAGTAGCTGCATAGAGCTGGAGAAGAGGGGGAGATTGTGCAGCTGTGGCTAAAAGGTACCAGGTTTCTCTTTGGGGTGATAAAAATATTCTAAAATTGACTATGGTGGTACTTTGGGAGCCCAAGGTGGGAGGATTGCTTGAGCCCAGGAGTTTGAGACCAGCCTGAGCAAATAGGGAGACCCTGTCTCTACAAAAAATAAAAAAATTTAACTGCTGTGGTGGTGTGCGCCTGTGGTCTCAGCTACTCAGGAGGCTGAGATGGGAGGATCCAGCCCAGGAGGTCAAGGATGTAGTGAGCCATGATCATGCCACTGTACTCCAGCCTCGGCAACAGAGCAGGACCTTGTCTAAAAAAAAAAAAGAAAAAAAAAAAGAAACCAAAACAGAAAAATTGACTATGGTGATGCTTGCACAATTCTGTGAAGACACTAAAAACCATTGAGTTGTATACCATATATGACTGAGTTACATGCTATGTGAATTATATCTCAATGAAGTTATTACAGGAAAAAATTTAAAAAGCAGTATCTCAGTGTCCAGCCTAAGACCTCTGGCAGGTCACTTGCCAGAGGTCAAATGCTGGTTAGAGGCATGGCCAAAAGTGAATGCAGGTCTTAAACCTAAATTTTGTCCACCACATTCTGCCATATTTCATAGTGGCCCTGTGAAATACGACACCCGTATTGGGAATTCAACAGGTTTCTAGTGTTCTTTTCCCAAGCTTCTCACTAGCAAATCATCCTGGCTTCCTGTCTGTTCACAGGGACACAAGCTGCCCATTGTGTACCTCATGTTGCACGCCATGGCTTTGACCCCACCATTTACATTTGTTGCCCTGTAAACTCACCACAAGGAACACTTATTCCTACATTGATGAATTTTTCCCCACTTCTCCTCCTGGATAATTCGCTGACTTGACAATGCCAGGGGACCTACTGCTTCCTTAGAGACTCTTAACAAGATTCTTTTTTTTTTTTTAATTGCATTTTAGGTTTTGGGGTACATGTGCAGAACATGCAATATAGTTGCATAGGTACGTGGCAGTGTGATTTGCTGTCTTCCTCCCCTTCACCCACATCTGGCATTTCTCCCCATGCTATCCCTTCCCAGCTCCCACCCCCCACTGTCCCTCCCCTATTCCCCCCAATAGACCCCAGTGTGTAGTGCTCCCCTCCCTGTGTCCATGTGTTCTCATTGTTCATCACCTGCCTATGAGTGAGAATATGCGGTATTTCATTTTCTGTTCTTGTGTCAGTTTGCTGAGAATGATGTTCTCCAGATGTATCCATGTCCCTACAAAAGATGCGAACTCATCGTTTTTGATTGCTGCATAATATTCCATGGTGTATATGTGCCACATTTTTCCAGTCCAGTCTATCATGGATAGGCATTTGGGTTGGTTCCAGGTCTTTGCTATTGTAAACAGTACTGCAATGAACATTCATGTGCATGTGTCCTTATAGTAGAACGATTTATACCCAGTAATGGGATTGCTGGGTCAAATGGAATTTCTATTTCTAGGTCTTTGAGGAATCGCCACACTGTCTTCCACAATGGTTGAACTAATTTACATTCTCACCAGCAGTGTAAAAGTGTTCCTATTTCTCCACATCCTCTACAGCCTCTGTTGTCTCCAGATTTTTTAATGATCGCCATTCTAAC